ATATATATTATATATACATATATTTACATACATACATGTATATGATCTTAAAGATGTGTTGCGACAAGGCGATGGGTGAAAGTGCTCCACGAAAGAGCCCGATGATGTTCCTCGCAGTGATTGACGATAACCTTCGCATGCATTGATGCAATCACTGAGCATGGATCAATGTTGTACAAGTCATGCGCCTGCATACATGTTGCCGGAGCAGAATGGATCAGCCGTGCTTATACGAAGCAGATGTTCTTTGTGTTTTCGCTTACAAACAAAACGAGGGTAAACGGAGATTGCAAGATGATCCTTCTTTGCAATCATCCAAGCTAATGTCCCAAACGCTCGATTTTTGCCGCTTTCAATTATATCTAACTGGTATGTGGCTGGGGGATCACGTGACTCTCTCTCCTTCTTTCTCCCTCTCCTTATCCTCACCTCCTCTCTCTCTATGTGTGTGCCTCTTCTCGCTCGCTCGGTCTCTATATATACATCTGTTTATCTAGCTATCTATCTGTTTGTTTAAATATGTATTTCTATGCGTCTATCTTTATGTGCCTGTTTGTCTATCTATTTATCTATCTGTTTGTGTCTATCTGCCTATATGTCTATCAATCTCTTTCTATTTATCTTTATGCATAAACATCTATTTATCTCTTTCTCTTGTCTTTTTTCTTTCCCTTTTTGCTTCCCGTCCGCGCTTACTCTCGCCTTCTCTTCCCCAGAGGCCGCTGGTGCCGCCCTTCCGCGACGGCGGGCCGGCGCACCTGCGCTCGTGCGAGGTGCACCTGCAGGGTGCCCCGACCAACTGCTTCCAGACGTGGCTGGCCAAGTTCTCCACCCGCAGCAAGCGCATCGACGTCATCGCGCGCATCACCTTCCCGCTCGTGTTCGCCCTCTTCAATGTCGCCTACTGGAGCGCTTACCTCTTCCGGGACGACGAGATGCAGATCTAAGGCGCTCGTGTTCGGGGACGCGCGAGCTACCGCTTCTCTCTTGTAGGGAATGCGGATGCGCCTGCGGATTGCAGAAGA